TGATTTTTTTTTTTTTTTTTTAATTCCCTCCTGGAATTTTGGGAATTTCAAAAGTCCTTTTTTAATTTTTTTTAAAGGGGAATTTGGTGGGAAAATCAAATTTTCCTTCGGGGAAAAAATTCCAAAAAAAAAACCTGGAAAAAAACAAGGAAAAAAAATTAAAATTTTAAGTTGGGAAAAATTATTTGGGAGAAATTCAAATAAAAAAAGAGGAATTTTTGGGGGGGGGATTTACCTGCTTTAAAATTCCGGGCCGTTTTCCAAGGAATCCTTGGAATTCTCGGAGCTCTTGGAGATCAGGTCGGCCAGCAGAGCCTCTTCCAGCTTTTTCCTCACTTCCTGCACCTTCTCCTCTTGTTTCCTGGCAATTAAAAAATTAAAAAAAAATTGGGAATTTTAGATTGGAAAAGTTAATTTTTCCTTGGGAATTTTTCTTGTGATTTTTTCCTGGTTTTTGGGGGGAATTTTGGGGTCAAAATCTTAATTTTTTCCTATTTTTTGTTGGAATTTTGGGGTTAAAATCTTGATTCTTCCCTATTTTTTGTGGGAAATTTTGGCTTTAATAAATTGATTTTCCTTTGGAATTTTGGGTTTTATTTTTTCCTGGTTTTTGGGGGGAATTTTGGGATTAAAACCTTGATTTTTCCCTATTTTTCCTCTGGAATTTTGACTTTAAATCCTTGATTTTTTCCCTATTTTTTTTGGAATTTTCACTTTAATAAATTGATTTTTCCATTGGAATTTTGGGCTTTATTTTTCCCTATTTTTTGGTGGGAATTTTGGGGTCAAAACCTTGATTTTTTCCTATTTTTTTTGGAATTTTCACTTTAATAAATTGATTTTTCCATTGGAATTTTGGGCTTTATTTTTTCCCTATTTTTTGGTGGGAATTTTGGACTCAAAATCTTAATTTTTTCCTATTTTTCCTCTGGAATTTTGACTTTAAATCCTTGATTTTTCCCTATTTTTTTTGGAATTTTCACTTTAATAAATTGATTTTTCCATTGGAATTTTGGGTTTTATTTTTTCCTGGTTTTTGGGGGGAATTTTGGGATTAAAATTTTGATTTTTTCCTATTTTTTGTGGGAATTTTGGGTTTAAAACCTTGATTTTTCCCTATTTTTTTTTTTAATTTTCACTTTAATAAATTGATTTTCCATAGGAATTTTGGGCTTTATTTTTCCCTATTTTTTGGGGGGAATTTTGGACTCAAAATCTTAATTTTTTCCTATTTTTCCTCTGGAATTTTGACTTTAAATCCTTGATTTTTCCCTATTTTTTTTGGAATTTTCACTTTAATAAATTGATTTTTCCATTGGAATTTTGGGCTTTATTTTTCCCTATTTTTTGGTGGGGATTTTGGACTCAAAATCTTAATTTTGTCCCTATTTTTCCTTTGGAATTTTCCCTCTTTTTTGTTGGGAATTTTGGTTTTAAGAAATTGATTTTCCCTTGGGAATTTTACCTTTAAAACCTTGATTTTTCCCTAATTTTTCCTTAGGAATTTTGCTTTTAAACCCTTTATTTTCCCTAGTTTTTCTCGGGAATTTTACCTTTAAAATCCTTTTTTCTTCCCTCTTTTTCCTTGGGAATTTTGGCCTTTAACACCTTTGATTTTCCCTCTGGAATTTTACCTTTAAAACCTTGATTTTTCCCTATTTTTCCCATGGAATTTTGGGCCTTTATTTTCCCTATTTTTCCTTGGGAATTCTGCCTTTAAAACCTTTGATTTTCCCTTGGGAATTTTGGGTTTAAAATGTTGATTTTCCCTATTTTTCCCATGGAATTTTGGCCTTTTTTTTCCCTATTTTTCCTCTGGAATTTTACCTTTAAAACCTTGATTTTTCCCTATTTTTCCCAGGGAATTTGGGCCTTTATTTTCCCTATTTTTCCTTGGGAATTCTGCCTTTAAAACCTTTGATTTTCCCTTGGGAATTTTGGGTTTAAAATGTTGATTTTCCCTATTTTTCCCATGGAATTTTGGCCTTTTTTTTCCCTATTTTTCCTCTGGAATTTTACCTTTAAACCCCTTTCTTCTTCCCTATTTTTCCTTGGGAATTTTGGCTTTAAGATCCTGATTTTCCCTTGGAATTTTGGCTTTAAAATCTTTTATTTTCCCTCTGGAATTTTACCTTTAAAACCTTGATTTTCTCCCAATTTTTCCTCTGGAATTTTACCTTTAAACCCCTTTTTTCTTCCCTATTTTTCCTTGGGAATTTTGGCTTTAAAACCTTTTATTTTCCCTCTGGAATTTCCCCTTCCAAACCTCCATTTTTCCCTAAATTTTCCCTTTGGAATTTCCCCTTTAAACCCTTCATTTTTCCCCTCTGGAATTTCCCCTTCCAACCCTTCATTTTTCCCAATTTCCCTCTGGAATCAACTCCCTCCCCTCCTTTCATCTACACCCATCGACGCCTCCCTCCTTTAATTTACCGCCCCATCCGCGACTCCCCCCTTAATTTACCACCCCCCCCCGCGCTCCCCTTCATCCCCCCCTCTCCCAATCCCATTTTTCCCTCGGATAATCCCACCTGATATCCTCATCAGTCACCACGAAGGCCCTGCAGAGGGGTTGGCAGGTGTTGAGCCAAACCGCCGGGTTCTTCTCGGCCGCCGCCGACAGTTGGCCGGTGATGGGGGCGTTGCCGGCGTGCAGGGCGCTGGCCACCGCCCACAGCAGCGTCTCCGCCGTGCTCCCAGGTCCTACTCCTGGAAAAAACAGGGAATTTTAGGGTTGGAATGGCTTTGGGAAGGAAAAGAAGGCGGGAAACGGGGGCGTCGATGGAAAGGGAGGTCGCCGGTTTTCAGGGAAAAGGTGGGAGTTGTTGCTGTTGGAATGTCGATGGGTGATGAAATTCCTACGTGGAATGGGATTTATCCCAGGAAAAAAAGGAAGGGATGGTCCCAAAATTCCCAAGGAATCATCAGAGTCAGGTGAGATTCAATCCTGAAAATTCCCAGGGAAATCTTCCCAATTTACAATGATTTCTAATGGGAAATTCGGGAATTGCTACTCCTGGAATGTCAAGGGGTGGTTTAATCCTACAAGGGATTCAATTTACCCCAGGAAAAAAGCACTGGATGCTCCCAAAATTCCCAAGGAATTGTTGTGGTTGGAAGAGATTCAATCGTGACAATTCCCAGGGAAATCTTCCCCAATTCCAATTTTTCAGGGAAAATTTGGGAATTGCTACTCCTGGAATGTCAAGGGGTGGTTTAATTTTATAAGGGAATCAATTTACCCCAGGAAAAAAGCACTGGATGCTCCCAAAATTCCCAAGGATTCATCCCAGTCAGGAGAAGATTCCAGATCAAATCCAACCTCAGGAATCTCCCCCCAAAATCCTGGGATTTTTTTTTTTTGGGGAATCAGGGGATGGCAATGGGATCTTCTCCCATTCCCAGCATCCCAGAATTCCCAGAATTCCCCTACCTTGCAGGCCTTTGGGAAGCTCCATGGATTTGATGCTGTGCTCGCTGACGTCGGAAGCGCTGAGGCCTTGGAGTCTTTTTTCCCAGAAAAGCTGGAAAAGGAAAAGGTTGGGAATGACATCAACAGTTTGGGAAAGGGGGGGGGGAAAGAATTCCATGTGGAAAAGGAAAAAATCCCTGGGGGAAAAAAGAGGGAATTCCATGTGGGAAAAAGGAGGGAATTCCATGTGGGAAAAGGAGGGAATTCCATGTGGGAAAAGGAGGGAATTCCATGTGGGAAAAGGGGGGAATTCCATGTGGGAAAAGGAGAGAATTCCAAGTGGGAAAAGGAGGGAATTCCATGTGGGAAAAGGAGGGAATTCCATGTGGGAAAAGGAGGGAATTCCATGTGGGAAA